AGAAAGTTGCCCTGGAGGTGAAAGAGTCTGAGGGGGCTTTGAAGGCCAAATAACATTTCAACAGGTAAAGAGGCGGAGGGGTTACAAGCTTTCCAGAGAGAAAGCACCACAGATGAGATTAGAGAGTGTTCGTTTGAACAGAGTGCGGCTTAGAAAAAATCCCGTTGATGATCAATTTGGAGGACTCGTAAAAGTTTTCGAGCATTTTCTCTTTTCCTTTTCTTAAAAAAGGTATAATCTGTACTGTATTTGCAAAACATAAGTAATGATGGTGTATAGAAAGGATGCACTAGCAGTATGCAGTTGGTATGGTGTGTTCTGGGCTTGAAACAACACGGCCCTTACCGGGAAGGAAGGTGTAGACAGGTCTGAGTTGCAGTGGACCATAAGTTCTCTTGTGGGTTTCCGCAGAGCTCAGATTACACACTGAATAAGGAGGTATTTGGGCAGAGACGATATAAAAGCCATTAGCGCTACTATGATTTTCTAGCCTCAAAGAAAGCCCCACGTGGAAAAGGTAGACTCTCGAAAAGGCCTGAGTGTAGATGAGAAACGAACAATCTACTTGGGCTGCAGCACATGCAAAGCTCAGCCAACTTCTTGAAACTCCCCTTCCCTAGCTCTCGGGATGCCATTCTTCTCTGGTCCTTCTACAGTTTTTTTTTTTTTTTTTTTTTTTTTTTGCGGTACGCAGGCCTCTCACTGTTGTGGCCTCTCCCATTGCGGAGCACAGGCTCCGGACGCGCAGGTTCAGCGGCCATGGCTCACGGGCCCAGCCGCTCCGCGGCATGTGGGATCCTCCCGGACCGGGGCACGAACCCGTGTCCCCTGCATCAGTAGGCGGACTCTCAACCACTGTGCCACCAGGGAAGCCCCCTTCTACAGTTTTAACGAGCCCTCATTTTCTTTCTTCTTTTTCTCTACAAAACCTGAAATGCTGTGTTTCCCAAGTATTTCTTTTTACTCAACATATTCCCCAGAGGAGGTGTCTTTTCCCATGCTTTACCTCGTATAACATACTCCAATTCTAATGACCCCCAAACTTACATATCTAGTCTTATTCTGTACCTGCAATGTTCTATTGATACTTTCAAATTCAAAACATCCAAAAATTGGAAACATCATCTTTTCTATTTCATCCCATTGGTTGCTTCCCCTAGTAGCTACCTTTGATGATAGGACAACCAGATCCTCATATTAGAAACCCTTCCCCCAAATCACTAAATCCTATCAATTTTCAGTTGTTTTTAAAAATTCATTCCTCCTCTGTAAATCCTCTGCCACTTGCCTAGTTCAGGCCTTACAACAGAATCTGACAGGCTGGGAGCAATCCTTGACCTTACGAAGATCACATTTTGATAAAGAAGTTGGACATGTAGAAAATTTTAACACCAGTGGTATGTTTGATAGAGACAGTCTTTGATAGCTTTGACCAAGAAATTAGATTTGAGGTGGATCTTAGGTGATAAGTTCGGGGACTTTAAATATTTACTTGGTTCCAGCGGGTCTTAGCTGAGGCAGGTGGGCTCCTTAGTTGCAGTTCGCTGCCTCCTTAGTTGTGGCATGCAAACTCTTAGCTGTGGCATGCATGTGGGATCTAGTTCCCTGGCCAGGGATCGAACCTGGGTCCCCTGCATTGGGAGCGCGAGTCTTAACTACTGTGCCACCAGGGAAGTCCCAGAGGGACTTTAGATACAGGAGGGAGAGGAGGATGCTACAGAAAGAACAGCTTGTAAAAGGCAAAGACAGACCAGACCACATTTGAGGAATGTTGCTGGAGATGAGGCTTTAAAGGTAAGCAGAGGCCAGATCGTGAAGGGTCTTACATGCCACACTAGGGAGGCTACACTTAATTTTGCAGTGAGAAATGAGACATTGACTTTCTCTAAACTCTCCCTACTGATCATCTAAGAGCCACCTCAAATATAATGATAATGTGGGTAAATGCAAAAGAGCTTTTTTTCTTAATTTATTTAAAATATATATGACTGTCCACAGCAAATTATACCATTATATTGTGGAGTTTATAACATAGGCTATATATAAGACAGATGACAACTGTAAGATAACCGACAGGGTAAATACATCTCTACGGTTACAAAGTTTATATTTTATATTAAGGGGTACGGTGTTAAGTGCATATATATTGTGTAAGGTTGCATATCATGATATGGGTTTGGTTTACACAGGTGTATGCATTTATGAAGACATTGATTAGTACATTAGAATTATTTTGTCATAGAATTCAAAATTATGCACATGTGAAATATATTTAGATATCTGCTTCAGAATCTTAGAAATTGTTTACTACCAGTCTGAAAGTCCCTTTGACTTTCAAAAGTTGTTTTGGTTATATTATGTTTTGTCTCTGAAAATTCTGTAGTACATCGTTCAGTTGTAATATTAGGGCCAGATCTGGAAGTCAGGACTCTCACTGTTGTGGCTTCTCCCATTGCGGAGCACAGGCTCAGGACACGCAGGCTCAGCGGCCATGGCTCACAGGCCCAGCCGCTCCGCGGCATGTGGGATCTTCCCGGACCGGGGCACGAACCCGTGTCCCCTGCATCGGCAGACGGACTCTCAACCACTGCGCCACCAGGGAAGCCCTACACTGTTCTTTATCATTCCAATGTTAAGTGTTTTAATGATTAAATAACTGTTAAGATATACATCATATATTTGCTCTTCATTAAGCAGTAGTTTTCCTCTCATTACCCAATCATGTAACTTCTGTGAAGGCAGAGCCCATGTCCAGGTATCACTAGTACCTGGCACAATGCTTAGCACATGGAAGGCCCTGAATGAATGAATGAAGACTGTTTACCATCATTCACAATATTCCTTTCCCAACTGATTCTGAACAGAAATCATCAAGATTAGGAGAGGGCTTCCCTAGTGGTGTGGTGGTTAAGCATCCCCCTGCCAATACAGGGGACACGGGTTCGAGCCCTGGTCCGGGAAGATCCCACGTGCCGTGGAGCAACTAAGCCCATGTGCCACAACTACTGAGCCTGTGCTCTAGAGCCCGTGAGCCACAACTACTGAGACCGCATGCTGCAACTACTGAAGCCCGTGTGCCTAGAGCCCGTGCTCCGCAACAAGAGAGGCCACCACAATGAGAAGCCCGTGCACCACAAGGAAGAGTAGCCCCCACTCGCCGCAACTGGAGAAATCCTGTGCACAGCAACAAAGACCCAACACAGCCAAAAATAAATAAAATAAATAAATTTATAAAAAAAAAAATTAGGAGAATAGTAAGGTTTGACTACTTCAGATATAAGTTCTAATGACATTTTGTTCTTATGTGTGGAAACAGATTTTAACGTGTTTTGCTATGGTTTAAAGGACTTGAGACTTAACTAATGCAGAAATTTAAAAAATGAAGTGATTAATTTCTGTTATAAAAATAAGTGCCTGTTTTGCATAGTAACAAATCAATACTCTTTTCAAAGTTCAAAGGAAAGAGAAGCTGGTATTGGTTTCTATTGAAGTCAGATCCAACTTTTATGAAGACAGTAATAATTTCATATCAGAATCAAATAAATTTCAGAACTCAGTTTGAGAGAAAAAGGAAAGGCTTTAGTTAAAATCTTTACAATAAAATAATTATGATTATAAATCTTTTTAGTTAAATATGTACACATTACATGGTATTTTAAAAAAGAATGGAAATGAATAAAGTTTTTCAGGCAAATCTAATGCACAAATATACCATCTTTTTTAGAGTATAATGTCAGTTTAACATTCTTAAACAGCTGTGTAGACAATGGCTCTGCTTTGTGCAAAACATGATAAGCAAAATTAAGAAAAATTCTGCAAAATTCTTTAGTTCCCCAAGGAAATTACTAAAGAAGAAAAGAGTAAAGGAAAAAAAAGGTTGTACACTCAAGCTTCATTGTATACAGAGGCTAGAATGACCAGCACTAATGTAACCCCCATATCTGCTAAACAAGTCCTTGGGTAGTTTTAGTTTGAAGTTAAAAGTTAAAGTCCTAGCAATTGTGCTCTTATGCAGCCACATGGCCAATAAGGTAGATGTTGTCATAAAGGTGCCCCACAAAATCTTCACTAATGTTCTGAGCAGCACGGCGGGTATTTCGAATAAATTCTCTTTTTGACATTTTATTCTTCACATGAGGGCTAGTGAGGTCAATGGAAAGTAGAATCAAAGAGTAGCACAGTACATAGACAGCATCTGGAAGGAAAAAGAAACACCTTGAATTACTGGCTGGTTTTTAAACTGTGGTCTCAAAGGCAAAACTGTTCATAATTTCTAAAGCTCAAGATTAGATTATAATTAAACATAATCGCCTGGGCCTTCCCCAGTTTGGTGATGAAAGTCCTGTGTCCTAGGAAACTCCTCTCCTGGGCAAACAGGGATGTCGATCATCCTAACTGAACACCAATTCAGTGAGCATTTTCTTCAAATAGTTTAGGAGTTGATAGTAAAAAGTCATTCTAAATTTAAAAATTTCAGAATTGGTTTTATTTGTCTCTTGCTTTCAAATGTGATATTCCCATTCAACTACCCATTAAATACATTTGTACTGTCAGTATATCTTCCCATTAAAAAAAAAGTTGGGGGGCTTCCCTGGTGGCGCAGTGGTTGAGAGTCCGCCTGCCGA